CATTTCTATGAAAACAAGCCTACACCATGCCAAATAAACCTCCAAGTTTGTTAAAAAAAAAAAAAAAAAAAGTACATACTAAGGCTTTAAGCAAAGTTTCAGGATAAATATTATTTTAATTTTCAAGCCAGTGGTAAAATGATTCAGATAACTGATTCTACACTTCACGTTGCCAAACTGTGCATTCATTCAACATGAACACAAATTTAGAAATATTGGCATTACTAACAAATATTGCTAACAGGAATATAACACCAACTAGGACACTCACACAACTTATTCTTACCTTATCTGGTCTTCTGATCTACTCCAAATGACAGCATATGCCTCCAAATCCTCCCTTCCAACCAACACTGCACTTGTTACTGGTCAAAATCAAGCAGGTCTGAGTCCTGGTCATCCCAAGGTCCTTTGTGCATCATTTTATAGCCTTCCGCCCCACACACACTCCCCTGTTTCTAAAATAACATGGACCATTTCAACACAATGGGGCTTCAATGACAAACCAAATAGTGCCTTTGGTTTGGTAAAGCTTCAGTAAATCTTTGTACATTTTCAGGACAAAAGAGACATAGGGCACGGCTTTAGGTAAAACTAGTGCAATTACATCAAACAAACATTAGAAGTGCCATGATTGGGTTTCATAGTCAACATTCATTTGTGCATCTATTCACATTATAAGCCTTTCCTAGCTGCTGTAGTAAACAACAAAATGGTTCCATTGTTGGTTAATGGCAGGATGACATAAGCAGACGCACGCAGGCCGACCACGCTCTGAGCATTATCTCCACATTCACACGAGGGTCCTGATGTCATAGGCTAGGTGGATTCTCTTATGAGACTTAAAGAAAGGATAAAAGGGGTTTGGATCTGAGTCAGGCCCACACAAATAAATAAATGGACAGTGGTTTACAATAACCATTCAGCAGGTGATGCCTCATTATAGGCACCGCCATCCTCTAGTCATGAATGTTTAACCCAACAGTCTGCCCATAGTCACCAAAATACACACACTTATGGTCATTCTCTTCAGGTTAAAAGTCACAGTGCGTGATCTACACACTTTTTTGTTATGATTTATTAACCATGTATGTACTATATGTCATTAGAAATATATAATATGTCCATATAAATGTGTTGTCATCTTGTCTGTGTAAAGTGAAATGATATTTGAACTATCTGAGTACATTGTACATGTGTGTGTATTTGTATTTGTTTTTTTTTGTATTAGCTCTTAAGGTCGGTCTTCCCCACATTTTGTATAGTGCAGTGTAACAAGCAAATAGTGTCACTAGAGGGCAGAAGAGACAAAGATGAACCTTCAGGCCAAAAGTCCTCTCTGTAGGCTTGAGTGTAATGTGTCAGCATCTCCTTATTGTTTACGTTTGTTTCTTTGTATTTGAGTTTGACAACATATTTGCAATAATAATGTTAATTGTTCAGATAAATGTTTGATCCTACATATCTGTGATGGAAACTGATATTGTAGAAAGAGTACTCTCAATCTGTCTGTGTGTAAATGAATGTGATTTCTACCTGATACCAGACCAGTCATTAATGTGTAAAGGCTCAGCAGACACAACTGTCTCCACCATCAGGAAGCCCTTTGTTGTACTACCTGTTCTCAAATGTAAGTTAGTAGGTTGATTAGCAGAAGTTTGTGAAAAAGCCATTCCGCTTTGATATGTATGTAATTTGTATTTCTATATAAATACTCAGAGCTCAGGAGCTCTGGGGGAAGATGGAGGAGGGAGATGGAGGGAAGGAGAGTAACTGGACAGAGGATACTCAAGAGAGGCATTTGGTCTCTGGCCAAGGCAGGCCTAAGCCCTGTCCACATCTTCTGTAACAAGAATAAACCTTTGTCTTTATTCCAAAAACTCATCAGGCTTCACAAATGGATTATTATTTATCATTAAGAGATACTTTTTTTCCACAACATGTTTTTCCCCTCAACATATCCAATTATAAATACACCATAATGTGTGAACAAAAGTACCTGAGGTTGGTAAAACAAAAGGTTTATGGTTTGATACTAGCTCTGACCATAGTCATGGTGTCCATGGGCAAGATTCCCCCTCACTCACCTTGTCCCTGTGTAAAGTAACGATGCATTATATATTTATTTATATATAATACATTTTTCTTCTAGTATACAAAATACATAATGGATGGATTAAAACACACATGTCCATAAAAGCACATTTCTTTAACCAATAAAGAAAACTATTGAGGTCATATGTGACAAATATGCTAACACGTTTTCCCTTGCAATGTTACACACCTACAATTACTAGACTTGAACCCATTGAAAAGAAATCTTTCACATCCTCTGTGTTACAACTTAGCTTCTCAGTGTCACCTGCTGTGGATTCAGTTTCATTCAAAGAACAGTGACGTAAATTGAATGAGAAAAAAAAGTTGGGTCTGATGTGCAATTATCTGTTACTATTACTAACATTCTGCCCTCTTTGATTAGAAAATCATAATGTACATAAATCATACAAAAATCTATAGTTTTCTGTATTCAACAGTTAGTCCCTACATCAACAACAATAACAATACTTGCACATTTTAACTTTTGTGTGCCAGAAATGTGTTACTGAATGTAGTTTTAGACTATAGACATACACCTCCAAAAAATATAATTGCCCCTGGACAATACCAAAACATTTCAGCTTTGGTATTGTCCAGTTGCAGTTCACTTATTGTTAAATTGTATTGTCCTTTTTTTGAATGGCACAAAATTACATTTTTGCCATTTTAATGAAGAACTCTTATAAGACACTGAGCTCAACTTTCTCTTGGAAGGAAAACAACCCACTAATAGGAACACTGTTAGACAATTCTCCTACTCACTGCCCATCTCATTCAACCTAGTGTCCATATGCTATTTTATGTTTCACAATTATCATATTATATTATTATTATTATTTGTATTTATTTTTTTCATTTTTATCATATATCTTATTCAAGAGAAAATGCTCTACTTTCCGATTCTGATAGATTTAGGAGATTGATGAGTCACATAATCGTTTTAGTGTATACTTATACTACTTATATGCACAGTACTATTATATAACATGTAGTGAAACATGTTTTTGTAACAAGAATGACACTTCAAAAATATTACCAGTAGATGGGGGTGAAAAAAATATGTAATGTAATGTAATGTTCTACTTTGTATTACTATTAGAAGAACTAATTACATGTAATTAACACAAATGTATCTTATGTAGCCTAGTAGTAACACACACGCACATGCTAGCTTAGCCACACCATATGGAGCCAAGCAGCATCAAGTGTCAAAGCCTTTTCTACTCAGTACACACCAGGGGAAACCGTACCTTAATTCATCCACGTCTTCACAACTTTATCTTCTTTCATCCCGGTTCTCCTCAGGTTATCCCAAAGCAAAACCTCTCCATCCAGTTTGCCCTCTGAACAGACATCTTAGGTCATGTTTAAGGCCTCTGTCCCAGTCACTCTCTCCTGCAAGCCTTGTACTCTGTCCCACTCTCCTAGGCCAAAGAGATGCTCGTCAATTTTTAATGACACTATTGTGCTCCTGGCCATGTGCTGGTGAATGGGGAGCACTGGCCCGGGAGCAGCCACTTTCTGAAATAAAATGATCAGGCTGCCTTCAGTGTACTCAGGACAAACAGCTGGGGAGCAGGGAGAAACCTGGGGGTCAGAGGTGAATGATTGTACCTGCTGTGGGAGGGGGCAGAGGGGGGAGATCAGAGGTTGAAAGTCATGCAGTCTTAGGCCTAAATCGCATGAAAATAATGCAATTAACTTTGTACAATAGAGTGAAGGAATACTACATGTTATATGCAAATAGTATACAAACCCAATGGGACTCATAATGTAACAGAAAATGGTTCAAATGGACAGGCACCCCAGTACATCAGTGATTTATTGCACCCCTACACCTCAGGCCACACCCTCCGGCCCTCAGGTCAGGGCCTCTTGATGGTCCCAAAGACCCGATTTAAAACTCAGAGGGACGTGTGAAAGTGCTTTACAGAATAAGAAATACATTACAATCACAATAAAAACAAATCAAAACATAAAAATAAGTTAGAGAGAAGAGTGCAGAATGAAAACCTTTCAGTTATATGCACAGTTAAACAGAAATGTTTTGAGCCTGGATTTAAACAGCGTCAAAGTAGAGGCCTGTCTCACATGTTCAGGAAGACTGTTCCAGGTTTTAGCTGCATGAATCTGAAACGCTGACTCCCTGTGTTTAGTCCTGACTCTGGGCAGCAACAGGAGGCCGGTCCCTGAGGTCCTCAGAGTGCGAGATGGTTCATATGACACTAACATGTCACAGATGTACCTTGGTGCTTGGCCATGGAGAGACTTGTACACAAGCAAAGCTGTTTTAAAGTCTATTCTCTGAGCCACAGAAGCCAGTGCAGAGACCTGAGCACACGACTTATGTGCTCACACTTCCTAGTTCGAGTAAGGACCCAAGCTACAGCGATCTGGATGTACTGCAGCGCCTCACAGCTTGTTTGGAGAGGCCAGTGAGCAGGCCATTACAGTATCTAATCTACTGGAGACAAACACATGGATAAGTTTCTCCAAGTCTGCTTTTGATAGTAAACCTTTGATTTTTGCGTTTTTTTAGATGGTAAAAGACTGCAGATGCTATTGATTTGATGTGGCTGTTAAAATTCAAGTCTGAGTCCATTATTACCCTTAGATTTCTTACCTGATTTGAAGGTTTTAGAGAGACTGGAGGTGACTGCTGACACTGTCTCGTTGTTTCTGTGGACCAAACACTATGACTTCTTTTAAAAAGCAGCTCATGACGCTGCTTTTTAGACAAGCTTTTAATTGACTGCATAATTCCTCTGTTCTTATACATGTTGTTCATTGCATTGTAAAGCACTTTGTGTTTTTTATCTGTGAAAGGTGCTATATAAATAAAAGCTTACTTACTTTCTTACTTATTCATATTAACATATAAATGATTTGTAGGAAGACAGGGAAAAACTTTACATTTTTTTATTATTTATCATTCTTTTTGAGTCACGGTCTATATATGCCAACATTATAACAACAGAGTATACCAAAATTCAATGTACATGACATGTGTTGATTTCAGTTTTAAGGAACCCAGGATTAACTTGAACATTTCACTTCTAATTTCTCCAAAAGTGTGTTATATAAAACAGAACAGTACACTCTTGACAGTTGGTTTATAGATTATTTTATCTAGAATATTGTATTTTTCATAAAATTCATGTCATCTTCAAATGCCCTCATTTAATTTCTCTCGGTTGTACATCCTAACATAAATCTTGCCTCCTGAGTTCCTTGTGCTTAATAAGGCCTCCATTTATTTTTTCACAATCTGGATGACGTCTTCATGCTCCATGATGTGTGTTAAACCCACTCTCTGAGGACTGTACTTGGTACTGGTGCCCTAAAAAAGTAAAAAATACAAAATAAAATTAATTTATAATGAAGTATTGACAAGATTTTAATGCAACACTTGTCAAAATGAATGAAGCTGTAGACAATATAATTACTTACAATAATAATCTGACGTCACTACTTTTAAAAACACAACATTTTCAAATATTTCTGAGGCATTTTTGTGTGCACTGTCCTTTATCAGACAAAAAATACTCAAAACATGGCATGACTTACCCAAACCAAGGCATATTTGAACTGGCTGGCTAAGGTTCTATGGATTCTATGGCACTATTAAAACACAGAATAAAGATAAACAATCTTGAAACATTAAATATTCCAAATTTTTTTTTCTTTTGTTGTTACTATTAATATTAATATAAACGTTTACTAACCACATGCTCAACAGATGCTCCTCTTCTCATAATGATGGCATCATTAAAGTCTGGCCTCTCTAATAAGGAATGAGATACAAGATATTAAAAAAGCAGTATATACGTCAATTAAACTATAACCAAAAAAGTACATACCTCCTCTCTTCTTTGTGTAAATACAAATGAGGGCCAGGTATTCCCACAACATCTCCAGAAGGTAATCCAAGTTCAATTTCATCCCACAACTAAAATGATCAAATTGCAAATGTATAATTATAAACACAAGATAAAAACAAATACAGCATTAATAGTTTCGAACGAATTTTGCAATTATTGACCTGATGACTACACTGTTGGGTCCATGAGCAAGACGGTCCACCTCCTCAATGGAAATCTGATCCACTTTATTGTAAACCTGAAATGAAAATAAAAATGAATGAAATTACATAGTACAAGTACATTCTGAGAAGTATTAAAGAAAAGAAAATAGTCCCTCTTACATAAAGGCATGGCATGTAGACCCTATTCCCCACAATGACATCAATGAATTCATCCGGCGTACTGTCCTCCCTGAAAAGGACTTCTGCATTAAATATTTCTGTAGTGAAAAGTTAAAGAAGTTCGCAGTAGAGACTCACAACAGCAGGGAATAAGTTATAATATAAACAACATAGAGAAGGATACTGTATTCGTGAAGGATGAGTTGAACCAGCTTCTCTGAGCAGTGGGTCAGAGGAACTGTTGAGTTGTATGAGAGGCCACCACCTTTCTTTTGCTATAAGAAATAAGAATTAATTAGAAAATTTATATACTGACTGCAACACGTCAACATCACAAATAAAATTTAGTGTAATAAACATTAACTACTACTCCTACAATAAAATGTGTTACGACAGGATGACTGAAAATGCTGCATTCATGTAAGAAGACATTAGGGAAGGGTGAAGCAGTGAAGAGTAGTATGACAGTTTTGGTCTGTGTAAATACTTTACTTTATTCCCATTAATGTTATTTCTGTTATGTCTTTGTTTAAAAATGTGGAAAAAAAAAATAAACTTGACTACCTTGAAATATATGTTAGGTTTTGTCCGATTAAGCCTGATGCCCACAGACTCCAATTCTTTCTCTAAAAGTTCTCTGCAAAAAAAAAAAAAAAAAAAAAGGTAGTGAGTCAAAGATATATTCAAGTAATTTTGTTTATCTTGATGGAAAAAATATAGTTGCTTACCTCTGGACATCTCCTTTTGTAGCATCCAACATCATGATGACAACATCTGCAGTTCTGGCAACAGCAATAACCTGTCTACCTCTGCCCTTGCCTAGATGACAAATTATTATGAAGAAAACAGACTTCTTGGAAATTGTATAATAAAAAAAAATACAGTTGTACCTTGAGCAGCTCCTTCAATAATTCCTGGCAAGTCAAGTAACTGAATATTGGCCCCTTTATACTGAAAAGGAAGAACATCAAAACTGAGATAAATAATATTTTTGATAATTGAATGAAAGAGATCATTTATGTACCTCTATAACACCAGGTATACATGTGAGGGTTGTGAACTCGTAGGAGGCAGCTTCACTGGCAGTAGAAGTCATTAAACTGAGAAAAGTGGACTGTGGGTACAAAAATTAAAACTTTATATATTCTGTCATACAACTGGTGTTTTTTCATGATAAATTACATTAAAAACAGGTGCATTTTACATACCTTACCCACAGAAGGAAAACCGATGAGAGCAACACGAGCATCTCCAGATTTCATAACATCAAAACCTTCGCCTTTAGCTCCAGCTGACTTGGAGGGCTCAAGAAGCTGAGACCTGTACTTGGCAAGTTTGGCCTTGAGTAAACCTAGATGGTACTCGGTGGCTGATGGTAAAGTAGTGAAAACATAATTTATCATTGAGCTTTGAATCATTTGCTGGTGGGCTGCATATGAGAGTTAATTGTGGAACACACTAAGCAAGTTAAACTTTGCCACAATGTGGAAGTGAACAGTTTAATTCAGTGATCAGCAGAGTCAAGAGTAACGACAGGCTCGTAATGCACACGTAAAGGGACAACTTACCTTTGTTCTTTTGTGTTCGAGAAATTTCTTTCTCTATTTCCGCAATTTTCTCCAATATCCCCATTGTGAAGGTTTTGCTGAATCAGAAATTCTGCATAAAAATAAAAACGTGTCACTTTTCAGCTTTGCTAAACTCGCTACTAATGCAACACACATGCAAATAAACGTCAAACAGCGACAACATATACGTGTAGGCTTAATAAAAAGTAAAGAAACATCATTTAGGTACTGTCATTTATGTAAAAAGTGTAGATAATAAAGAAATTTACTGTGTTAAAGAGGCCACTCTTGTAGGCATGCACAGATATGTGACATCACACACAGGAAACGAGTCCAACGCCGGTCAGACTCCGGCTGATACAAAGACAATTACAACTTTGGTTCCGTATAGTTTTCTGTCTCTTACATCACGCTTCGAAATGTCCAGTCATCTTATGGTAGATTCTGGCATCGTCTACGTGCGACAGACATTAGATACAAATAGCTATGGTTTATGTTTCTTATGATGTTGTGACGTGCTGGATAAACGCTGAGATGTTTTTGTAATATAGTTTTATTTTAGTGGTGAATACAGAGAGTGAACATGGCTGCGCCCGGAGGACCGAGGGGTTCAACAACCTCCAGCCCGCCAGGGTTTGAAGGCTTCCCGTTTCCAATGACAGCCAAACCATCCGAGGACAAAAGTGGTAAAGAGCAAGAGCAAAGTGGTGATGTTAAAAAGAAGCCGTGCCGAGCGTGTACGGACTTCAAGAGTTGGATGAAAGTCCAGAAACAGGCGGCAGCAGCAACAACAACAGCACAGGTGTGACTTAAGGTCATGGCATGATGGTGGGGGCAAAGGGGGGAGGGGGGTGCACTATAGTACACTGTAATTAATAATTTATAACTCTTCTAACCTTACCTCAGAGTAATTTGATAATTTTTTCATATCATACATATCAAGTTTGCATTGTTCATTTGATTTCAGTCTCAAACATTATTTTAATCAATATCTTCCAGAACTCACCCATAGAACCAGAGTCACAGCAAGATCCTGAGTGTCCCCTGGACCGTCAAGAGCTGGGTCGTAACACCTGGTCTTTTCTGCACACCATGGCTGCATATTACCCTGACCATCCAACATCTACACAGCAGCATGAGATGGGACAGTTCATCAACCTTTTCTCCAAATTCTTCCCATGTGAAGAGTGTGCAGAGGACCTCAGACACAGGTCAGAGAGGGCATGAAGAGTATGCAAAAAATATGCTCTTCAGTATAAAGTTGAAAAATGTATTGTGAATACACTCTTGTATATTATACAAGGCATACATTGTGCAGTTACTTTACAACTATAAGTGTTTAGACTGGGGGTCACAGCAGTTCTGCTCTATGAACCCTGTGGTCCAACCAGGCCCATGTGTTTTAATGGGAGGGGAAGGAAAGTCACAAAAGGAAAGGTAAAGACAAAGACAAAGAGAACATGGACACTCTGCCCATTCATTAAAGAATGTCTTTTGTAACATTTACATGTGTGAACTTTGTATGTTTTCTTTTCTGCTTCCAGACTGAAGACAAATCAGCCGGACACTAGCAGCCGCCACTCTCTTTCCCAATGGTTCTGTCGTCTTCATAATGATGTAAACGTACGATTAGGGAAGCCAGAGTTTGACTGCTCTCGCGTGGATGAAAGGTGGAAGGATGGATGGAAGGATGGATCCTGTGACTGATACATTCAGATTAAGCTTTGAAACTTGAAGACCAAAAATATCGACATGTATGATTCACTGAAACTGAAGAGAATATCTGGCAAAGTTTTCATAATAACATCATCATTACAATTCTCTCAGATTAGCTCTGGGTTGTTAAGTATATATAGATATAAAAAGTGTACAATATGACCAGGATAATTGTGCAGATACTACTAGGCTATATACATTTTTGTGAAGTTCCTATTTTTGTACTGAACATGTGTCTATGTGATTGGGCAACTTTTGTCATAATACTGCTGTGGAAGGAGAGCCCTAATGCTAAAATGCTCAAACTAAGCTGGTTTTAACCAGTTAACAATAAAGTGTATCTAAGATGTGACTCTGAATAGTTCAATTTATTATTTAGACAATTAATAAGAATCTTTAATTCTGAAAAAAAAAAAAAAAAAGTTAATGGTTTATATTGTGTGTTTTCATATCTAAGTCAAGCACTCGTCCTTATTTTGGCCTCCTCCTTGGATAGGCTGTTCCCATTGGCCCCCCGTCCATGTATTGTCCATAAAGAGCATTCGCGTATCACATCACGGGCTCTAGCGCGTGGTGCTCTGTGCGTCTTGAACGCACGCACTCTGTTGTCCGCGTGCGTCCTCGTAGCCGCGCGCCTGGGTGCGCGCTAGACCCGTCCCTCTACAGCAGAGAACAGCAGCGCGTCCATCCTGCCGTGGAGCCGGGAGCGTGGAGCTGCCAGGAGAGAACCGAGAGCGAGCGACAGAAGATGGACGGAGTGGGATCGTTCGGAGCGGGCCGAACCGGGTCCACCATTGACCCCATAGCCTTTGCCAAACAACCAACTACCATCCTCAGAGTGCTAACCTGGGTGAGTGAGCTTTTCACCGTATTGCTGCTGTGTGTGCGTGCATACGTGCGTGTGCGTATGGATGGAGAATACTCTGTGTTGCTGTTTGTGCGAGATCCCGTGACGTTTCCGCACCGCAAATCAAGCCACAAGAAATCCCCATCAAACATATGAAATTATTGTCTAAACGTACAGTATTCGTGCTGATGTGAACGTTTAAATCCGTGCGTATAGTTAAAATGGAAGGGTGTAGCCAAGGCCTACTGGTTATCTGACACTGTGACCATCAAACCTATTTCTGCAGATGTTGTTAGAGCAAGAAACCAACCCATCATCCACTATGTCGTCAATTTTTATTCTTGCAAACAGACTAGAACAAACCCAACATCTGTTTTGAAAAAACACACTAGAAAATTCACATTGAAACGTATTTTAAAGCTATAGAGCATTCGTGTCGTTTCCCTCGATTTCACCGGGTTATTATCGCTTAATTAGCCTATTACTGTTCAGTGTACACAATATTTTGAGCTAATGATTTTCCTGATTTAACCAAAACGCTCGTCGTCCGTAACCCCACCTGTGATTGGTCCGTCATTATCGTTACGCGCGCAGGGCCATAAGACGCGTCCTGCCGTTTGATGTAGCGCATCACCTTTGGATGACACAGGGAAGGTCTTTCTCGTCAAAGCGTATACAGACACCCTTCGACAGCCTCTCTACGTGTAAGTGCTGTGGTGTGATCAGATATGGACGTGTTGATGTACAGAGGTAAAGGATAGGGTATGGAACAGGTTGTGTCCAGTTGAGAACTTAGGCTTGGTTGAAATGTGTCTTGTTTTGTCATTTCTTGTGACATAAATTTAAAATGTTATCACAACATATTGGTCTCCAAACAAATTCATTTCAGTGAGGAACTCAAGTGCCTCTCTGTCTTTTGTTAAAAAGTCAAGATAATTTAATTTAAAAGTTTAATAAGCCATCTTAACTAAATGCAACTGAAAGTCACATAGAAGACAATCTTATCAAACACACTGAGAACAGAATGTAAAAATTCATGGGCCCAGATTAGAGCCATGTGATGAGGTTAAACTGTGCATCTGACTTGATCCCTTTGTGTGTCCTGCACCATCATATGATCCAAACCTCTAAGTTCCAGTGCTTTTGAGTAGGAGTGTGTCACATGGCCCTATTCTGCCATGAAGTGTTAGTCAGCTGACCAGTGTCAGGCTGGTGGTCTACAACTGAGGAGGGCTGGGAGAAAAGGAAGAAAGTTGAATTAAGCTTGTATTGTTTTAAAAGCCTCCTTCAGTAACTGCCCATGTTGGTGTAGTACTGAAAAGTGCCTCAGGTCTGTGGGATTCTTGAGGGGAAGTCAAGCATCCACCTCTTCAGTCAGTCACAGAGAAAAAGGAGAAATTAGGTTAATGCCTTCATCTGAGCGCGCTCAAAAGAGACGCCTTCGAATAGTGCGTCCCAGCTTCATTCCACTAACAATGTTTGCAGACTGTATAAAATACTGTTCCAGAGGCTTTTACAATGAGATTTTATATAACACTCTAACCCAAACTAAGCGATCCTGTAGTCTAACACTTACATGGTCTTTTCTTTTTCAGATATTTTCCCTGGTGGTGTTTGCATCTATTGTGAATGAGGGTTATGTTAACTTGGGCAGTGAGCGTCTCCACTGTATCTTCAATAAAAATGCAGACGCATGCAACTATGGTGTGTTTGTGGGCCTGGTCGGTTTGCTGGCAAGTTCCTTCTTTTTCCTCGTCGATTACAAGTTCTCCTCCATCAGTTCTGTCAAAGACAGGAAAAAGGCTATAATGCTGGAGATTGGCTTTTCAGGTGAGGCGAATGCATGTGTCAGTCAAGACCTATGGACATTTTACAAATAGGAGCAGTACACTTGCCTATCACCAGTGGTCAACACCAGTCTGATTATACTGTGCATGCTTGTGCAGTGTTTACTTTGCCCTTTTCTATGTGTGCCAGTGGAAAACATGGTAATGGATGAACTATTCTCATATACGTTAACTTAAGTACTTTTCATTTTGCAGGTTTCTGGACCTTCTTGTTCTTTGTCAGTTTCTGCTTTCTGGCCAATCAGTGGTCTCGAACCACGCCTGATATGCTGCCACTGAACCAGGGAGCAGATGCCGCCCGAGCTGCTATTGCTTTCTCTTTCTTCTCCATTATAACCTGGGTAAGAATATCATCTTATATTAATACTAGTAATTTTTAATTTATTGTATATTTTCAAATGCTACAACATTTTTTGCTATTCTTTATTATAAACACCAATTACATTACAACTTACAATAATACTTTTTCTATCCCTCCTCTTAATTCCAGGCTGGTCTAACGGTCCGTGCCGTGCAAAAATACCTTCTCGGCACAGACATGACCCTTTTCACCACAGAACACATGGATGGCGGTGCACCTTCCCAACCATACCCCTCCAACTCACCAGGGGGCGGCACCACTGAGACCACAGAGACATACCAGAGCCCACCTTTTACTGAGAACAATGCAGCACCTACATACCAGGTGCCTATTTATTAAGATTAGACCAGGGTTAGCGAAAGAAACCTGCTGTCTGCAATGCTGTATGTGTGTGTTGAATTTGAGATTTATTAGCGATCATAGTCCGGCCTCTCAGTCTCAGTTTCCTCCTCTTGCTACTCTAAGACCTTCCTCGACATTCCAGTAAGAACTGCACACACTTTGACTTCAGCATATCCAGTGTCTTTATACGATAGACATGATTTAAAAGGAGCAAGGAGAGCAAACAGAGAAAAACAGGTCGTCTTTTTAAGCAAAAGATGTTTATTTTGTCTTCTTATATACTTTAACTTCTTAGGTTCTTTTTAAAGATAATGCAGGCTGACCACGCCTACAGGAAGTAACAACAGCTGATATACGACACGTCACCACCAACACCGGTGACAGTTCTGAAGATGGCTTGCAGCTAGCAGCTGAAACATGTCAACAAGGTAAACACACTTTACTGCATTGTCTTTAAAAAGAACCCAAGAAGTTAAAGGTTGTCTTTTTGATCGCAAAAACACTGACATTGACAAAAAGGAAAAATTTACCGTATCAATCAGTATTAAACTTAAAAACCTCTCTTATTTTATCAACTTTGCACCTTTAAAGAGTGTCAAAACTGTCATGCCAATCGAAACAGGGACGGTTCGATCTGTAATACGACATCACGAGCTGGAGTGTGTAGTTTATCCCTGCAATGACTTAATATGATAACATGTATTGATTCTGCATGTAGACATCAACTAAGTGCCATGCTGTACTGTGACTCACACAGTGTTTTGGTAACATTATAATAACTAAACTAAATAGTCTTAATAAAACATGAACAAAGACTTAATTCATACTGAGCAAATAGTTAATTAAGAATGACTCAGGGTTTGTAACTACTTAATTAAACTTAAAAGCAGCTACAAAACCTGAATCATTCTTAATTTAATATTTGTAATTAAGTCATTGTTCGTGATTTAAGACTAATTACGTTGAAGTAATTATAAAAAGGTACCATGTTTTGATTTAGTAGGTTTCCACATGCTGTTAAAAAACAAAAATCTAAAAAACATTGTGACCAAGTGCAATATATCATGTTTTATGTACAGCGGTTTTAAGTGTATTCTGTACTGTAGGTAGGCAAGTTACTGTGGATTCATTTAATTCTTGGCACTGTCTCAAATCATATACTAGTTTAACTGCATTAAAATCTCAGGCATGTGTTTTATTTCCAATTTAAGACTGAAAAATACACATCTCTAGCTATTACCTCCAACTCTAGCTCAAGTCAAGTCATATTTCGCCCATATAGTCTTCCTTCGCGATACCAATTTCAACAATATTACAAAGATCTTACCGTAGTATCAGTTTGTGTACAGTCGTACCATGGAATGTATGCAGTATGTAATTTGAGACAGTGTCCACAATGTTGAGTGTTGTGTCATTAAATATAAGAGTGAATGAAGAGGTTCTGGATAAGTCAGGTTTTTTATGTTTACGTTGTAGAAGCTGCCAAACTGCCCTCTGTTATTTCTTATTACTGAGTATCACAGTAGTACTACTTATTGTTTATGTAATATTATGTAATCATACAGTCTACGTGTGGGCGGGGGTAAAATATTGAGCGAGAGAGATGTTGAATGATTGGGCACAGTCTCAGGCAAAATAAGAATCAGTTTGTGGGATGCTAAACTGTCGTTAGCTGACAAATTCATTGATTCTGCGATCGGGTTATTGGGAGGAGAGGGGGGCAGGTGGGGCGGGAGGGTGGGGGCGGTTTTGTTGCTATGGTGACAGGGACGGGGATGGGTGGATGTGGGTCACTAGAGGCCATGATGTAGATAGTAACCATGCCAACAATGTCAGTGTGTGTATACAGAGTTTGTGTTTTGTGGTTATGTCAAATCATCTCTGAAGTATAAGTTAAGTTTGTGTGGATGAGAGAGTGTGGGCTTGTGCACATGTAATAGGTCTACATGTGTTTGCAGAATAACTTAAATTAAGTCTGATTTATTTGTGGAAAATGTGTGGAAAAATGTGTACTTGTTTGAAAACAAATATTACATTTATTTTTGTGGTGTGTACAATGTGTCATTGCGTATTAAGTGTGACGGAGGAAATCATCAGTGTGTTTGACTATTCAGACCAGGAAACAAAATGACATTTATAAAATATAGTGCTGATATGGCAAAACAATGTTTTTTATCTTGATAAAGAGAGCCAAATATAAATTTAGTGTTACCCTCAACCTGTAGATCAGGGGTGTCAAACTCATTTTGGTCCGGGGGCCGTATCCAACCTACTTTGATCCCAAAGGGGCCGGATCAGAAAACCCATGACATATAAACCCCAAAAATAACAATAAGTTCAAATATTTGTGCAGAGAAACACAAATCTATTACAGAAATATTTTTTAATTGATGAACTCTTTCTTATTATAATATTATAATATTATGAACAACCTGAAACTTTAAGAAAAATTCAATTTTAACATTTTAAATATTTTAGTAGAAAATCACCCAAGGGCCACATTAAAGGTCTTGGAGGGCCGGATCTGGCCCCCGGGCCTTATGTTTGACACCTGTGCTGTAGATCATGGAATGCTTTGCCTGCTCTTCTATCTGTGCCCTTGAAACAGTGCCCTCTGCTGACCAGAGAAAACCAGGGCTTATAGGGATTATAAAGTAATCACGTTTAGAAATGAATGCATGAAATTAATGTATAGAGTCCATAATATATTTATTGTATAATCTTTGAATTGATTTTAACTGATTTGAACAGCCATGCAGATGTCAAGGTTCTTTGTGCCAACATTCATTTGTCAGAACATGGTGAGTGGGACTGCTTTCACTTTTCAAACCCCAAACTTTGGGCAAGAACAATTCAGTTCAATCAACCAAAATAACCAGGTGACTCCCACTTTGGTCTGTTTAGATTATGCTTATAGTAAGAGCATGACATTTAATCAGAGATATTGTCAGCCACAGCAATTATAGATCTTTTATTTGATAAAAGTTAATTTAGAAAGAAATGTTCTGTTTAATTTGGTGCAGTATAAGTAGTTGGTTCACTGTGCTGCTATTAACTACTCCACAGCTGTGATCTTAAGGCAAACTCTGTGTGGGCCCTGTTACTTTATTATCAAGTACTGTCAGCTCTGATTGTATTAGTGTTTTCAGTGCTTCAGTCTCCTCTTCAGTCAATGTGGTAGATTAAATAAAATTACAAGCATTCTGTGTTTTAGTGCTCCAGCCCATGTACACAACTGTGGTATTGGTTGATTGTAAACTCTGGTATGTTATTGCAGTAAATGGAACCTATGTGTGATGCTGTCCAGGGTCTGGTTTGTCCTGTACTTATGAAAATACAAATATATAATTAAAATGCTGATTATTTATGATTATTATGCACTCTTTGTTAGATGATTTGACTACTTTGAAGGGGAAGTTGGTGCCAAAATCAATGTTTTCTTGTGTGTTCATGTAGTTTTCTCTACTATAAAGGGTATGACAGTACAGTTAGTGCAATGTTTTCAGTATCTCATTGCATGGAGTTTAAAATTTGTTCCTACTACAGGTGTGATGGCAAAATGACAAAATGGCATTGATTTTGTAGCATACCACCCCTTTGGTTTTACTTTAATGAATCTTGTTCTAAAGGTGTACAACTTTTCAATGTAAATCACTGTGTACAGAGGTGTGTGTCACTGTCTACTACCTGAATGTGTCTGGACTGCAGTCTGACTGTCACACAAATAAAAAAAAAAAAAGAAAAAAGAAAACATGTTCTGGTTAATTTCCTGTCTCAGTGGTAACTTCAGGTAACCATTTCAGATGTACCGTACAATATAAAGACTAATACAGAAAGTAAAATATTAACGTTAATCCGATATCCCCCCGAAAAAAGTATAATATGGGATATAATACACATTACAAAGCTTCATTGCTCGTCTAATTCCATGTTAACTCATGATTATGTTATGAACCCATTGACACAGACATTGGGGCAGTTAGGAGAAAAAATATTAATTTGTCTATATTGGACAGACGTGGGAAAAAAAGACAATACCAAAGATTATTAGCACCGTTTTCATGTTGACTTATGGGAGTACTGTAACAAAAGATAATTCCTGTTTAAATTACATGAATCTGCTTTTTACCATTCCATTGAAGAAACGACAATACATTATTCTATCCTGTAAGTCCCTATTGCTCAGTCGATAGCACAGTATATAGCTTTAGAAATTAAGTAAAAACATCAAATTAGGATTAAAAACATGATTTTACAAGACTGATGACATCAGTGAAGATATTGTACTGCAATGTAGCATAAACACAATCTGTATGGCAGAGATATTGCTGAAAAGTACAGCTTTATTATTAGGCATCATGAAGATAGAGAAAGCTGTTCTGTGACAATCTCAGTGTAGATCCATGGACCCAAAAACACATGCGGGTCGGGGGTGGGCAGCAGTGCAGTGAGGGTCCTGAGATGATGAGACAAGGCCTTATGTAAAGGGTCAAAAAAAGGTCTCCACTATGAGCTCCAAACATTCACAGGTTTCAGGAAGTGAATCAATAGTACTTGTTTAACAGTGTGATAAGGAGAACAAAGGGAATCCTGAAGAGCACAGAAACCATATAAAAATGTAAACCATTTTGTTTCTGCTTGTTCATAAACCTTCCAGCGATTCACTTGATTTATATCTCATAATATCACCATCAGAGTTACATGATTAAAAGCAAAAAGGGAATAAAACTAAATGTATTGATGTATTAGTAAGTATTATTCAAATAGAAGTCATACTTTTCAAAACTCAATAAATAATGAATTCTGATTTGATTATGCCAGTACCAGCTGGAAAGGTCACCACAGACTGTGTCTGAAAGCAGAGCCTCTTTGTAGAGTAAACCATCCAAACCTGTTCACTGCAGCATCACTACAACTCCATCACCCTCCTCTCACTCCATGTAAGCTCCGGTCTCCACTGGGATGTGGTTGGCTGAGAAAGCAGCAACTGCAGGCCACTGATAGTTAGCCAGACTAACCGTCTTTAGAACAGCAAAGGCTAGCTGATGATACGGCTAATTGACTGGAGTGAAGGGAATTCCTCATTCTCCATCGTGTGCAGGGATTTGTGGGAGTTAAAGTCTTTTGGGGCCAGCACCTGTCTACAAGTGGGACAAATCTGGCAGTCCAGTTCAGCAGCGGCGTTAGAAATAGTGGGAGGAGTTTGCCATGCATTCTTTTTGTTCTTATTCTTCTTTCCTCCTCCGTTCTGCTTCTCCAGTGCTTTGCTGTCTCCATGGGCAGTGAGTAGCTCCTGTTGCTTGCTTGTGTCCGGCAGAAGCACAAGCAGTTCATTGAAGATGCAGTTGAAGTCATCTCCAAGCAGGTCCTTGCAGCTGCAGTGGTACTGCGTGGCGGAAATGACACCCTGCCAGCACAAACCACAAGATTTTTAGCACATTTACACAGGTGAGTTTCACTGTGAATGGTGTACAATACCTGTCTGAATTGTGCCGAGTAGTTTTTGAACTGGTTGAACTTAGACTCATCGTTGTGGAGGTACTTTTTAATAGACAAGATCAGGTTCAGATTCCTCTGTTGGAAGTCTTCTGGGACACAGTACCCCCCTGATGTCACCGAAGGGCTGTAAACAACAGAATCAATTACAATGTGTCCGCATATGAAGACCCAAACTTTATATAGTCTTAATGACTGACGTGTTGGTGCTAGAGGAGGGTGGTTCAGGCACATTGCTGTTCAGAGGAATGCCCGTGAATCCTGGAGGAGGTTTAGGACCAGTACTCCGCAGACCAGGAGGTGGGCTTGGGGCCACAGATACAGGAGGAGGATTTGAAGCCTTTATTGGAAAGGATGTCTTGAAGCCTGTAATGATTAAAATTTGAATGACAATGAAAAATAATAAAATATATAATAAAAAAAAAAAGTTTCTGACTAGCCATATACAGCATGTGATGTCAACATTTCTTCCTTATTGTGCCACCTACACTATGTGCCTGCTGTTATGCATCATAAAGTTCTGAGTTGTAAGTGCAAGTCTAATAGAGCAAGTGTAACCATGTCATACTGTCATATCCGTCATAGACATAAAACATCTGATTGTTACTAAAAGCTACTAGATCAGGTACCTACCTGGTGGTGGCTTCTGTGCTGTGAGGGCAGGAAATTCTTCCTCTTGTTCAGTTGTTTGGTCAGTGTTTGTTGTAGTTACATTAGGAACGTTCTTGTTTGTAGATGGGGAATTGTCAGGATAGCCATTGACTAAACTGGGTTTGATGGAGGTTTTCTCAGGAACATTTTCCTTTTGGGCAGCAGTTTCCACAGGACAGGACTCTGCAATGGATGCCTTTTCTGTCCCTGATGCCAGAGCTGATGAGACCGCATTGTTCTTCTGCTGTTTTTTCTTTTTGTTGTTTTCCTTTTTGTCTTTAGCCACAGGCATGGGGTCCATATTGGTGGTCAAGTTTGGAGGCTTTTGAGGTTGAGGCTTTTTATTATTACTGTTTCCTTTTACAGTGAGCAATGAGGAAATATCCAACATGGTGGGCACTGCCCGAAACTCCTGCTGGGTCAAGCCTCCACCTTCTTCATCTGAGGTTGGAGGAGTCCAATTAACCGGAGCTTTGCCACTCTCTCCTACCTTCTTTTTCCTCTTGGAGGATGGCATGCTCGCAGAAGAGAGAAGCTGAGGACCTGTGGGGGTGGGAGCAGGTTTAGTGGTAGCAGGAGGTTGGGTTTTAGGGGCAGCAACTTGGCTGGACCAGGCAGAATTAGTTCCTCCTGTGGCTTTGACAGGCCGGACTTTAGAAACAAGAGCAGGGAAATCCTCTTCCTGGAATGATGAAGTCTTTTTAGGCTGAGCAGAGTATGCTGGAGCCATGGGTGTAGAAACATTGGCCACAGACAAACTTGGGAAGTCATCTTCTTTAAGAGGGGCATGAGATGCTGGTGGTGTTGGGGTGGAAACCGGCTTGATACTGAAATAAAAATGTGTAATGTATGAAACCAAACAAAAACATATTACAAATACAAAACAGCACAATGTATACAATATTATCAAACCAGGAGAAAGCATTACATTGGTACTGCTGCAGTGGCTCCCAAAGCAGGAAAGTCATCTTCATCTCCAGGATTTGTGCTTTTCATGGTTTTTACTGTATGAGACAATATATACACATCAGCACAAAACGGTGCACTACATTCAACTGTAAAGATGAATGTGTAATCCTTTACCTGGGGGCATGTTGGCTGTGGGGTTTACAGGGCCTGTCCTAGATCTCTGTTCTTCTGGATCAGTTCTGTCTGCCCTCTCCTTCACCTTTGAAGCTCCCCTGTCTTTCATGGCGCCTCTCTCCTCCTGACGACGCATTGCCAATGATGCCCTCATGGCTGCTGCCACATCTCGGTCTTCCTCTTCTCTGTACGCACATGAAAACTTAGAAACCACAAATGATGATGCATCTCTTCTGCATTAAACTGTGCAAGTACCTGGAATATCTCCAGCTCTTCTGTCCCCCCTGATATCGTCCTCTTCCTCGATTATGATGCACCTCTTGATAGTCTTCACCTGTCACTTGGCCTTTCAATACAAACAGCCATTTTCTTGTTTTTTTATTTTTTATAAAAACAAATTAAACTGCAAAAATCAAAAAACAGCCTGAGCACTTACCATCATTTCGTCTTTGTTGTCTAGGGGCCAAGTTGAACTGCAGGTCAATCTGGCGGTTCTGGCGTGCCTCGGCTCGGTTCTTACTGTGTGCTGCAGCCTTATGAGCTTTATAGTCAATCTCTGTACGAAATGCATGAGTGAACTGCTCTGTAGCGCAACGGCCCTCCTCACACAGATAGTGGCTCTCTCTGAAGTGTTCACTGAGGAACTGGTAGTCACTGTTCACATTTGAAAATTTGAAAATAAATAAAGGTAAAATATTGATTAAGCAGGCAGTTTTTCCTCACCAATAGTATTCTTGTGATCCATCTGCATCACAGAAATGACAGAAGTAATGATCTCTGCGCAAGTGCTTAAGTAGTTCGTCATTGTCTAGGTATCGGTCATCACAGAACTTGCAAAGCGGATGTCCTCTGTGACTTGTGTCATCGGGGTCTCCCTGGGTTCGATGACGGGCCAGCTCTTTTCGGGTGTACCATTTGCGCTCATAGGAGAAGATCTAGAAGTTGATGAAAATTCAAGTTAACCTTCACTCAAGTTAGGTAATCAGGTATTAAGTGCTGGGTATACTTCTACACACACCTTGAGATGTTTTGAGCAGAGCTTGCAACTAAAAAGCTCATGCTGCTTTCTCATGTGCTGCTCCAGTTCTTCAAACTTTGAGAAGACCTTTGGCTCTGGACAGTGAGTGCACTCTGGCAGCAAAAGATGCCTAGAGGAAAAAGATGTTCAGATTCTATATCCATCATTTTGTTTGTCGAGGCTTGAATTATATTTTAAAAAACAAAACAGAAACTTCTTGAAACCTGTATTGTGCGTAGATTCTTTCATCCTTAAAATAAATGTCATGATTCTTATCACATGGAAACTTTTGATAGGGTAGAGATGAGAAGTTTTCTAGTTTCTTCACAAATACGACCTGGAAACAAACAAAGTAAATGTTCCTTTGAGCAATTGTGAGAAAATAACAATGCGGGATTTGAAAGCAGCCTACTTCAGAATGAATAAGAAGCACACAGAATAGATGAGTATATTTGGTTGACATTTAACCAACGCAAACAGCACAACACAATATAAGTTAGGGGCAGTCTGCCATTTGAAGTGTTGGGTAATTGTACAGTCACTTGGATAAAGTTCAAATAATGAAAACTGTGGCCTGTGTATGTTATAACCACGGCAGATGATTCAATCAAACTGGTAAATCTGGCTTTGAATGTACGATGACAGTAGGGAGACCAGATTTTCAAAATAAACTGGGACATCCCTGTTTTTTTGGTGGTCGGTAATTTAAAAAGTGAAACTAGTGTAAGTAATGAAAACTGTTCTGCACTTGGCCCATTCATGACTGACATGTTAGTCAGTATTGTCACATTTTGTTTGTGTTTTGGTCATTTTTAAGCATCTTTTCTGTATTTTACCTAAACAAGTGACAATTAATGCCTCTCTTTACTGTTGGCAGGGATCAAATTGGAACACCTGGGACGTTTCTTGTATAAAACTGGAACAAATCAATGGTTTTGGATAAACCTGCTGTAACAGGGGACACACAGGGCTCAAAACTGGGACTGTCCCGGGTAAATAGGAACGTCTGGTCACCCTAGATGACAATAAATACACCCAAACAAGTGACTATTAAAGTAATTATTCATAAAGTTTATTGAGCAACCTCATAGAAAGACATACTGCCATCTATGGAGCCACCTGATGTGAATGACGTGCTCGCAATGGGACGCTCATGTTAGCCGAGTTAGCTTTACTGAAGCTAATGACAGATAGCATTAGCCAAAAGTCAGGGGTGAACATAGCGAGTCCTGGTAGTTAATTTTGTTATTTTAGTTTACTGATTAAACTACCACGTATACATTAGATACTGGATTACCAAATCGACAGCTGTGTGAAGTCAGATTTGTTTATTAAACCCATAATCAGACGCTAACTGACAGAGCATACCTTGTCTAGCTCCTCTCGGCACACTGCACAGTACTTCTGCTCGCACAACACTCTCATTTTAGTGGAGCAGCGATAACACACCGGGTGGTCACATTTCCCCAGGGCGAAGATGTCGATTTCTTGACAGCAGAGGACACATTGCTTCTCGGTTTCCTTAATACTCGGGTCCATTGTTGCCATTTACAGCACTGTAGTTCAGGGTTTTGAGAAGAGCCCAGGCGGTGAAGAGCTTACGTAATTCTAAAGTCTGCCGCGTAGCGTAAGTGCTGTACGTAACAGGGCAGAGAGCATGGGGCAGACACAGGCCAATCCCACAGGACTCACCCATAAAACTCACCCATCCACCTCACCCGTACACACGTGAACTGCAATCAGGAATTCAGCACGTGGATCTAGCCCAGCCTACATGGTTACGTTCTAAACCAAGAACCAAAAGAATAATTAACCATAATCCAGGTCTAATGGAGGAAAAACCAAAATAAAGTACTTCTACTGTACAGTTTCATGAGTCAAAATAGTGTTTAATCTCCCGCAATACATATGTTGACAAAAATATAATAAAATAAAAAACTTTTCAGAAGAGACTTGAGTGAAATGAGAAAAACATGTTGACAGAAGAATTAAATGAGTCAATACGCTATACTGTTACAGAACAACAAAAAACAAAATAATATGAGTATTCCAGTTATTCAAACATTTCAAGTAGTCAGTGGGCAGTGACGTTTTTATCTAGCGTCTCTTGTAGTGAGCATTTTGTAAACCCATAGCTCTGAAGGTGCAGCTGGCAATCTTCTCATAGAGAAGAAACATGAGGGCTGCTGTCAGAACCGTCTGCAGTAGTTTGGCCTCCAGGCCCTTAAAAAGGCCAAGCACACCATACCTCCTATAGAAAATCAAATCAGTTATTGGTAAATAATATAATAATCAAATGTTTTAACAGTAAAGGAAAGCTTTACTGTCAACATACCTTGTTCTGTTCACCAACAGAGATTTAATTGTTCTAAGACTTGATAGAAGTTTGGACTCTTCTGCTGACTTGTTAAACTGTCCGAACTGTAAATTTATGAGACAATTTTTTGTTTACTTTTTGTCTTTTAAGTAATAAAGAATATAATTTGAAGAAAACATTTTGAACAATTATGCTTACTCTAAGGACTGACTGTATAGTCTGTAGTGGATATGTTAAAGTGGTGGCAACAGCCTTGGCCACAGCACCAATGATGAAGACTTCAACAGATGTCAGCTTGAATGAAAACAGTCATTAGTTAACATCTAACAGTCTTTGCACAGTAATATAGTATAATCATAAACAGTAATTTCAAATAACAGGAACATTTTAAGATCCTACCTCTCTAAAAGCATCTTTCCTGAGCTGTCTTTTCAGGCCTTCATAAATCATGAACTGGATTGCAGGATTGAGCACAAGCAGCAGTGAAGGGAAGGTGCCATTCCAAAGGGCCCCAACACCCTCATCACGAATTATCTGCATAAAGGCATCTGTGGGATAATGTTTTTTATGTTTTATAACATAAACCGCAATAAACAATTGATAAAATAATTGCTTATTTGGGAAAAAAAAATGGAAACTTAAATAATGCATATACCCAAAACATACCCAAAATGCCAGAATAGCTAGTTGAATGTATTTCTGCATTACGAAACTTGGAGCCCTGAAGCTTCAGCCTGGTGTTTACCACCCACAGAGGAGTTGTTACTAAAACATTTACAACACCTAAAGAAAATTAAGGCACATATATGCGTGAGTGTGAACAAGTACTATCACAATAATAATGTGTGCCTGTGGTCATGGCACGTAAAGGTAAAGTAAACTCACCAGCAGCTATTCCTATGAGAAGGTCTGCACTTGATGTTGACTGTTTTCCTTTCAAGAAGCTTGCCTTCAGACTATGGAAGCAGTAGAAATACAAAGTTGGAGCAACACAAGCTGCATATGACAGGAAACCAACCTCTATAAGGAGCCAAACTGCAAACAAAACAAAATGCATTATTAATCCATTAAATTATACATAATACTGATGATAACTGAATGATAATTAGACCAATGACTCACAGTCCTTCCTCCTTTATAATTTCTGCAAGAATAGCTGGAGTAGATTTGGACTCTCTACCTTCATCCACTGAAATTGACATCAGAACGCACTTAACACATGTAAAAACAAAAACAGCATAGATTGGATAGAAATCTTACCTTGAAGTCTCAATCGTGCCGTATCAAGAGGGAAAAACACTGTCATTGCAGTTACACTTCCCTAAAATAAGTAAACAAAAGCGAAATTATATCAAACAAAACTCTATAATTGCATTACATTGTTAAACAGTTATAACATAACATACTGATTGCGGTTGAATTGGTTTGATATTGGATATTGGATATTCGACACATTCAAAGACAGTCATTTAAGTTGTGATGTAAATCACAGATTCTCTTCAGTTTGTGATGTCTTCAGTCATCCAGGGCATATATCACAAGACAGTAATTATTAAAAAATCATGCAATAAGATGATTTTATGCATATTTGTGATTTCAACACTCATTTAACTTGCGATGTAAATCACCAATTCTCTTCAGACAACTTGTGATGTCTTCATGGTCATCCAGGGTATACATCACATCACAAGACAGTAATTATTATCGGTGATTTACATCACAAGTTAAATGAGTGTTAAAATCACAAATATGCATAAAATCAGCTTATAGTATGATGTTTAAATAATTACTGTCTTGTGATATATGCCCTGGATGATTATGAAGACATCACAAGTTGTTTGAAAAAAATTGGTGATTTACATCACAAGTTAAATGTCTCTGAATGTGTCGAATATCCAATATCCAATACCAAATCAGTTCAACCGCGGTAACGTAATGTCTAATGTGGTTACATTAGTAAAACCTCTAGTATCTGGTAACTAGTGGTTCCTAGTTACAATTTGATCAGCAGTCATTTATCAGTTCTCCTTAATTAATACTAATGGCACGCTACTACACTAACTTATACTATATTATTTAAGAAACCAAGTGGAAATAGCCCCTGCTTACCATTGCACCGGACACAGCGTGTACCAAACTCTCATAAGAGAAAACCTCAAAACTCATTTTGATGATAACAGTTTAACTCTTATATAAATCTGAACTACGCAGTACAATTCTTGATTTTGTTTCGTTTTCGCTCAAAATGTTTGCATTGCATTGCAAAATGTTTCTGCGCTTCCGGATCGTTGACGTACTACCAGGCCAATGGAACTCTGGGTAATGCAGTTCTGAATGGAAGTTGTCGAAAAAAACAGAAGCAATTGATTAAAACGTATACTGATCCAAACTACATCCGGTACATAACATTTATAAACAAAATTCTGATATTTTAAGTCTCAAACATTTTACACAAGCACTTATTTAGTCAAGCAGTCAGGCATTATTTTAGCCATTTTTTCAGCCATTGCCATAATTTAATGTCTGCATTTGCATTTCGAACAAACATTTATATATTATGATGACAAATGAATCATACATACCTTGAGTCTGTACAAAATATTACAATACATAATAAATATAAAGAACATAACCTGTACCATACTGCTATTGTGTCCTTGGGCAAGACAATTCAACCCCCTTAGCTGCAGTGTTGAAGTAAGCTGGTGTACGAACGACAACGCCAGAATGTGTACATGCATGTATCTCATGTTGTTATGTTTATTAACATGCACTGTTCCAACCATAAATAAACCAATAATAAACAGATTCACAATCCTTATATATCTCCGGCCCACTCACTAAGCCACTGTTTGGTCTGCTCCTCACCCTCTTCATCCTCCTGTTTTCTCAAATTGGCCTTTTTGTTCTTCTCTTGTAAGGCACGTTGCTCCTCCTCTTCAAGCATCCTTTCCTCCTCTAGTCTGCGATCCAGCACAGCTGCAACAGTGTCCTCAAGTGTCCTTACAGAGCGCTGAGGGTGCCACTTGGGGTCCACAGTAGGGGTAAAAGGGTCTTCAGTCGATACGAGCAGTGGCTGAGGTCCCAGAGGAATGCGCAGCAGATAGGCGTGCAGCATCATGCGGTATGGGGCATTATCTGATCCAAGACTGTAGGTAAAGTCACCAACTATGGGATGCCCAATGGCACTACAGTGAACCCGCAGCTGGTGTGTCCGACCTGTACAAGATATTGTCTGTTAGCTAAATTCTGCAGCCTAAGAATCTTAAAAGAACAGTCATAACCAATTTATAATCTATATGTTACTACTGCTTCATGCTTATCGTTACCCGTCAGAGGCTTCAGGAGCACTTTTGTGGCAGGCTCTCCATCATATAATCCATACTGTAACACGGTCAGCTCAGTCTGGCAAGGCTTTGGGTTTTCACAACCTGTGTACATAACGATCAATTAAGGAATACAACAACAAAATAACAAAAAATATATTAGTCTGCATATACTTGTTTCTACCTTCTGTTCCTCCAATACACATCATATGAGTTTTGCCCTCAGAAGAATTCTTGCCAATGGGAAAGTCCAAAGTTTGGGTTTCCACCTCAACCCAACCCCGCAACTGTACAGAGTAGAGAAGAAATTACTTTTTTTCATCCAACAAAATCAAATGCACTGTATTGTATAAAGTGTACCAGAGCTATATAAACTTTAGTAACAGTTCGGTCCTTGAAGCAGCGGTAGGCCTGCCCAGCAGCAGCCTTATTCAAGGCGACACACAGAGCGCCACTGGTGGAGAAGTCCAACTGATGGCAAAATCTGATGAGAACAGACCAAATAAGATATCATCAAACTATACACATACATAACTTTGTGATGTTGTAGTTACTGAAGTTTGCAGCATTTCATTTACCTAAATCCATAGTAGGTGTTGGGGTCAGCCAGCTCAGGGAAATGTTGTCTCAGTTGTGCCTGCACTGTAACTTTCTCATACCACATTTTGCTGTCTATGCGGATGTCCCAGTGCTTGTCCACCACAATGTAATCATCACTTTGATACAGAACCTTAAGGTTTTCCAAACTAGCAGGTTCGGTGATCATTGTGGATCAGGGGTGCATACACAACCTGTTATTAACTAAGATTATTAATTAATTAACAAAGAAAGGTCAAATTTAAGGAATAGAAACATTTTGGTTTTATAAACTGACATAATTGAACCTACCTGGCCAAAACACACGACAGATGGTTTAAAGAGCCACTTCCCTATGGAAATAGTTCATCTAATACCTATACAGTAACTTCAGGCCATATTTTTCACTTATATTTGTTGTTCTTAGCTTGGATAAAATCTGGGTATGCAGTAGCCTAGAGTTAGTTTCTGTTAAAAAAAAAATAAAAAAAAAAATCTAAAAGAAATGCGCAATTACAGACATTTCGTTAAGGAAAGAACACGACAAATAAAAGGTTAGATCCAAAACAATCCATTTATGTCATAAACCATGATCATTCATGTGAGCTGCAAACATTGATGCGAGGCCATATAGAATGTCCACGGCGCATGCGCATTTGTAAAACTTGTCAACTTTAAAGTGTAGCACCCCCTGCGGGATTGGAGTACTGTACTGCAACAACAACACAGGCTTGTGCTTTAAATAAGAGTTCTTAAAAATGGTTTATCTCTTACAGCCTACAACATAAGTCCTTGCAAAACGCAGCATTATAAACTGTACATTTCATTTTTGCTTTTATTAGGCCTGTGGCTATAGCCTTTCCAGGCTATAGCCCTTTCAGCAGGTTGATTCTGGGGATTATGTTATTGCATTGGCCCTGTGATCTTTGTGATTAATACATGCACAGATACCCTGTAACACTTTACATTCTACTAAAAATAAGATTAATCCTATGACACCAAGCTCACCTTGACAGAGTTCAGTCTTATCCCTTTCGTGTTTATAACTTTCAATGCATGACTTTTAATTTTACTTTTTCCTCCCATGTTTACCATAGTTTTGCGATATTGTTTAAGTGAGCCTACACTTACACATATTTAACACTGCCAGTTTGTACAGTTTTGTTTTACAGTTTTGTTTAGTTTTTTTTTAACTCTAGTATATTTTTTCAAAATATTTAAATATTTACAAATGACTCAAATCTACCTCCACAAAATCATATATGACAAAATATTATGGACTTATATATTATATACTATGGAGTCCACATATGGCTTTGCATTATTGTTACATAACTGGTGAATCCCACCTCTGACTGATGAGATGATGATGAGTTCACCTATGAGATCACATGCAGATCAAAATCAACACAATACAGACAGACAGCAACAGCAAATAACAGCCCTGTAAGAAATGAAGAAAAGTGTGGACCACAAGAACATCAACCTTCTTTAGTCTACAAAAGCAGCTTGGACATTTTGTGGACTGGATTTTGTTAGCATTTTGTAGCCACTTGTTTTTTGATAATTGTGTGGACCATGCCTAAGTCTTTTCTCCAAGCTCGCTGTGAAGAGCCCATCATGACGACAGACTGGGGGATTCCTTTGCTGCTGGCTCTTCTCGTCCTGGCGCTGGTCTACGCTTTCCTCTACCTGCCATCCACAGCCCACAAAGCACTGATGGAGCAGGCTATGGGCAGCAACAACACCACCTCCGCCCTCACCATGGACTAAGGCAAAAGCTCAATTGTGACATCCATTTTGCATTTTTCCTGTATTTTGGCATTTGTGGCTGTCAGATAAGTTAATAAAACCAGCACAAATATCTTAAAAGAAGGTCATTTGTGTTTGACTTACTTATAGTTGGACAAAGTGTGGAGTCACCTGATTGGTTGGTAGCCTTTATTAAAAGATACATAATACATAATTGACACTGACAGTGGCAGTTTTTACAGTGAGAGGCAGGAGACACACAAATGTTTTTTCCTGTAAGCCACTGGTCTTATTTTCATCACATCAATTTTACAATAAACATGTAAAAAGTGAGAGAACCCGACTAAACCATGCAACACCCAACAAGCCAACAATTACAGTATGTTCCAATGTGATTTTCATATTTAATGTTTAGCAATGTGACAATATCATATTCAAATAATTAACACAGATAATTGGTTTATAAAGGGGAAAGGAGCTCCGGTTGTTAACATTTTCTATTAAAGTGTTTATTATAAGCTGTGTTGTATTCACATTACATGTCTAGGAAACCTTTTCAAAGGGCTCATTAAGATTTATTGAGGAAATTGTATCCGATTTCAACTAATTACATGCATATCTCTCTACAGTATAGACAGATTTCCAACGACCAAAGCTTTAGAAGCAAACATCCAAAAATACTGTTTCCAAAACAGAATAGATTTTCACCGTAACCCTGGAATTAATATGATCTCTTCTTCCATTACAATGAAAAATTATATTGAGGAATGAAAACACAAGCCTTGATGCAAAAAGCATACAACAAAGTATTTCAACTGCACAGAAAAGCAGTGAGGGATTTTGACATCATTGACCCTAAAAAGCTGTTTATACAGTCCCTAAATTGACCTTATTGTCTATCACCAATTCTAGTGAAAAAGGAAATGCTTAAACATACTGCCATAGTCCCATTTGCATGTTACAGTAACCTACCTGCTGGAGTTAAGATTTGACAAAGGAGAGGTTATTTTCCCCTATTCACTCCCAGTCTTTTTTGATATCAAAGCCCCACTCCCAAGCCAAATGCACGTTCTTGTCATCATCAATGAAGCGAGACTTGATGGTGTAGTGGCCGCGTGCAATCATGCCTTTGGGAGCTTCCTCCACGCTGGAAATAAACTCCTGTTCCTCGGCCCGTGGTCCATAACTGCCCACCATGAAAGCTTCTTTATCCACTGCACAGAAATACACAGCATATAGACAGATATTACATACAAACACAACTTGGATTTTATGACTATTTAGGTCAAATTACCGTTCAGTCCTTTTCTTGAGGTTACATGATAGTATTTTAATCCAGAAACGATCTCGTGATTCACCTGCAAAAAAAAAAAAAGTGTATTAGTTTATTTATTTCATTCATATAGTATAAAAAGACATCAACAGCGTCACAACAACAAACATACAAGAAATGAATGAAAAGGAGCAGAAAGAAGAGTAATCTTATGTTATCTGCCCCCCTTTTCCCTTTTCCAGACAAAACATTAACACTGATAGTTACTTTAAAACACTTCAACTCAGTACCTTTCAGTTCATGCACAATTATTAATCAATTGCAAACAGAAATCTTCACTATTATGCACAACAACTTAGTCTTCTTTTTCATATATACACATTGCATTCAATTACATGTGTATTTTTAAATGTCATTGTACTTGACTTTTTAAAATCTTTGCCAAAAATATTCCTTAAATTCTTTTCATAACTCCTTTCACAGTAATGCTTCGCTCCATAACCTTGGTTCTGAATCTGTTTTTTTAAAAACATGTAGGTTCCTTGTAAGTTTAAATTGTAGTTGCTTGTTCTCATCTCAAACAGTCTTTGAATATTTACAGGTAACACATTGCACTTTGCTTTATACATGACTTTGAGGATACTTAAGTCAACAATATCATGCATTTTCAACACTTTACACTGAACAAATAATGGATTGGATGGCTCTCTATAATGACTGTTGGTGATTCTTCTCAAGGCCCTTAACATAATAAAATAATTAAATAAATAACACTTGCGTCTGCTTAACAAACATAACAATTCTATATTTGTCCAGCAGATGTCCTCGCTACACACGGAAACTCTTTCATTGAGGGGCAGAATAACTGATTAATAAATTATTTTGCTGATAAAGTTACTGTTATTATTTCAATTATTTCAATATATTCAGAAATACATGTAAATAGTGTTTTTTTTTTTTTTTTTTTTTAATCAAATTTGGTTCTCAGCAGAGCGCTGACTAAAAATATAAGACATACAGTAGGTGCACTATGGATATGGATGGTCTGTCATCTGCTCGTCTCCACAGTGATGTTATTGCTTTCCCAGGAATGTTCCACAGTATAACATTAAACATAACTCTCTTACTTTCACTCCTTTACAGGTATTTTATTGCTACAGAAATGCTGTGAGCCGGTTTGCCTCTCCACAGATCTGAACCAAGAACATATCCATGGAGACAAGCAAGTGGCAGACCCTCCACTAGAAATGTACTTTTAATGATTTATTGTAGATAAAATTGCTTCCTGCAAACTATACAAACACATAAATAATACTGAGGATGTAATTCTGGCAACACCTAGTGGTAAGTGAAGTTTGCTCTTGTGAACATGTACACTATGGCAGTAAAAATAATGCAATAACCAGGGATAAAAGTGTGTAGAATCAGGACAAAGAAGAAATAATACAACAAAAATGTTACATAAAATCCATAAATATGAAGTGTTGGTCTTGTCTTACCTTGAAAACGATCTTTATTCTGAACTGCACTCCCTCCTTTAAGGTAAACACTGGTAGATTGCTCAAGTTCCCTGGGAGACAACATCAAAAATAAAACATTACTCACAGTTGCAATGTAAACATGTGACCAAATCCTCAGCCCAGCAGCAGCAAATAGCGATGACAATACATGACTCATAGTATGAAGTCAGCCCTGTTCTCTTTGTCCCTGATTTGCAAAAGCTCGGAACGTGCTAGGAAAGAAAGGTCCACTGTGCTTTTAAACTCCATACACCTACACTAGAATTATTTGGATAATTTCAGCTCTGAAGTTTCCAATCTCTGCCAAACAAAAGGTAAAAAGATAGATGTTAACTTGAAAAATACCAGTTCATGACTTCATAAGGTGGAACAGAGCATTTTGTAGCTTTGGAAATGTAGACAGACTAATAAAACAAGTCAAAAAACACAACTCCAGGTATGTTTTTGATGAGGAGAGAACATTACAGCATAGATCAGAAAATGTCGTAATATAGGCCCTTTAAAAATTGACATGTAATATTTCAAATAATGGTTTTAGTTTCTGCAATTTTGACCTTTGATTTACAGTCCGAGCACATTAATATATCAAACCTCTACTGGGACATTTAAAGAACATATCTCATAATATTCACATAATATCTTCTAATCTGGACATTCATTTTGGTCATTATCACCCATATTGCAGAATTTAAAAGACAGATGCAGGAGAAATTTTCTTCTTTTACATCCCAAAATGGTTCTTTAAAGCCCGTAACTGCCCTTATGGTTAGTGTTGAATGGGCGTATAGTGAAGGGCAGAGAAGCGCGCTGCAAAACCAGCACAATCAGAGATACATTCAGGGCCTAATGACTTTAAATCTCAATTTAAAAGTGCGCATCAGGCCGGAGTGCTTCCTAATGGAGGGAGGAGGAGGAGGGAGGAAGATGAAGGGCAGATAGGAGAACGGGGCAGTGGTGATGTGTTCAGATACAGGCACACTGAGGCAGAGGACAGGAAGGAAGTGAACCATAGATAACACGCACACCTAAACAGCACAGAGCCGTGTGTCAGCTGCAGTAGCACAGCCATAGCATAATATGGAATTTTATACATAAAACTGATGACCATATGGATCAATCAGAATATTTGATTTTGTTGTTTTTTGGTAATACATAGTTATGTTTTGACGATACGATATCATGATGTTTTGGTTATTGTTACACCCCCAGTAAACCCAAGTACCCCTAGGTGTAAACACATAACAGGTTTAGATCACCATGTTATCTTTTATTGTTTTGAAACCGAAAACAAGGTGCAAACATGTCTTTTAAGTTTCACTTTCATTTTTGACACTCCTGAGTCTCCCCTCCCTCTGCTCTCCACCCTAACGCGGGTTTAAATAGGACCCGAGAGAGTATAAGCGTAAACAATTATCTAGAAGAGACCATCATGGATAAGTAGCTTTTTTCAGAACATTCTGGAAATACAACAGTGAATATTTTTGTTGGCAATTATCACAATTATATAAAATGTCCTTTTTTATCACGATAAACAATATCATTGTTAAATTTTCCATCTCATAGTTAAAACGTGGTAGTAGAAAGCTTAAAAAACTCCATCTATTTTCTTCCCTCTAATCCGGGGCTGGGTCGCGGGGGCAGCAGTCTAAGTAGGGACTCCCAGACTTCCTTCACCCCAGACACTTCTTCCAGCTTCTTCGGGGGACCCCAAGGCATTCCCAGGCCAACTGAGGGACATAGTCCCTCCAGCATGTTCTGGGTCTTCCCTGGGGCCCCCTAACAGTGGGACATGCCCAAAACACCTCCAAAAGAAGGCGTCCAAGAGCTATGCCCAAGCCACCTCAGCTGGCTCCTCTCGACGTGGAGGAGCAGCGTCTCTACTCTGAGCTCCTTCCATGTGACTGAGCTCCTCACCCTATCTCTAAGGGAGAGTTCAGCCACCCTGCAGAGGAAACTCATTTTGGCCGCTCATTTCTGTGAGCTTTCTGCGAAAGCTCATGACCATAGGTGAGGGCAGGAACATAAACTGACCAGTAAATCAAGAGCTCAAAAAATCAATTTTGTATAATATTCCCTCTTTAAACATTTAAATTTAATACAGAAAATGGGTACAGTTCATTCTCCAAAGTTTGAACTCTCAACCTAGATTGTAATTTGATGCATTGCACAGCACAACATGAAGGGACTAAGTTTTAATAGTAGGATTAAGGTCCATTTTGCTTTTCCCATATGGAAATTTGTCTCCGTTTGGCCTGAGGTCGGGGTTGTCTGCACCAGTTTTTCTCCAGTGAAATTATATTAAAATGTAATTAGAACTGTGCATCTTTCACTTGGTTTGGCAGCTTTTCCAACTCACCTCGTACAACCTTTCAATTCAATTCAATCTAATATCACATAATCATAATGTAATACAGCGCATGTGGTTTTGGAGACTTTCTTTGATTCTCTTTGTGTCAGTTTCCTTGTCTCAACAGGAACATGCTGATTACTTCCTCCACACTGACTGATTGAGTTCCTGCGTCTGGTCTCAAGGGACGTGAAGGCCAAGGCAGAAGTGTGGCCCCCGGGAGCGTCTGGCACAGAAAATAGGTCAGAGTGGAGATAGACTGTCTACTATTGAGTCGTACAATGCTCTAGAGATAGGATTTATGAGTCTTTGAAGGAGGCAAGAATCTATAAGATCCAAAAGACTGCCCCTAAGTCTGAGTTATTTTACACTGAGAGGAATAGCTTGATTCTAATCTTGATATTGATCACAATTCATTTAACCACAAAATAGACCACTCCAAAATAGTTTTAGTCTAAAAACGTTTCTCCCAACTGAGATTAACACTGAAGATTGAAACTGAAAACTGAGACTCTTTCAAAATTCTTACATTATAAAATTTTATCTAAAACAGTGGTCCCCAACCTTTTATGTACTAAGGACCGGTTTTATGTGCGGCATGGTTTAGTCCTGGTTAAATCCTGGTTTATTCCTGGTTTAATCCTGGATTTAGATCTGGTTTAGACCTGGTTTAGTCCTTGTTTAGACCTGGTTAAATCCCATTTTAGTCCTGGTTTAGACCTGGTTTAGACCTGGTAAATTCATGGTTTAGTCCTGGTTTAGTCCTGGTTTTAGACCTGGTTTAGACCTGGTTTAGTCCTGATTTAGTCTTGGTTAAATCCCATTTTAGTCCTGGTTTAGACCTAGTTTAGACCTGGTACATATCTAGTTTAGTCCTGGTTAAATCCTGGTTTAGTCCTGGTTTAATCCTGGTTTTAGATCAGGTTTAGACCTGGTTTAGTCCTTGTTTAGACCTGGTTAAATCCCATTTTAGTCCCAGTTTAGACCTGGTTTAGACCTGGTAATTTTGTGATTTAGTCCTGGTTTGGTCCTAGTTAAATCATGTTTTAGTCCTGGTTTAGTCCTGGTTTTAGACCTGGTTTAGACCTGGTTTATTCCTAGTTTTGACTTGGTTAAATCCCATTTTACTTCTAGTTTAGACCTAGTTTAGACCTGGTAAATTCCTGGTTAAATCCTGGTTAAATCCTGGTTTAATCCTGGTTTTAGATCTGGTTTAGACCTGGTTTAGTCCTGGTTTAGACCTGGTTAAATCCCATTTTAGTCCTGGTTTAGACCTAGTTTAGACCTGGTAAATTCCTGGTTTAGTCCTGGTTGAGACCTGATTAAATCATGTCTTAGTCCTGGTGTAGTCCTAGTTTAGACATGGTTTAGTCCTGGTTTTAGTTCTGGTTTAGTCCTGGTTAAACCATGTTTTAGTCCTGGTTTAGTACTGTTTTAGACTTGGTTTAGACCTGATTTAGTCCTGGTTTAGTCCTGGTCCCCTGATCTAAAACAGCTTGAGTTTACATACACAGCATATTAGTAAGATGAAGAAAAACATTTACTGCATAATGACTTTACCTGAGTTGTAATTGTATTGTGAGTTGCGTCCTAATGCAGCTCCTCCATTATGTTAATTAGCCATTCTTCGTCCTGGGCTGACAGCACGTGAGTAAATATACTGTATATGCAGCAGCAGAACGCACGGTCAGCTAAACATGGCCGCCAGTACCATGAAAGTTTAACCAGGTTGAATTTAGGGCACTGGAGCACTGAGGAAGACCAACTGGGAATACTATGTTTTTTACTGTATGGATATCTACACATCACCATCTCATCCACAATATGCTTTTTCTAAGGTATAAAAACAGCTCCTTTTTCTCTAAGATTTGCAGTTATTTTTCCTTGCTTTGAAATAATAATAATGTGCATTTGGTTTGTGGGAAAATAACAAAACAGGCACTTAATGTAAAAGGTTGGAATATTAATTTAACTAAAACATAAAACATTAACTAAGCCATTTTTTCTTGATTTAAAATTTACAACCCATGTAAGAAGAAATTATTATATGACAAATAAAAATATAGGAAAACACTTTTTTTTTTGTTGAAAGAATATTTAAAGTATCAGAAAAAAATGTGATTCCTATGTGGAAATTATGTGGAACAGAATTCTCTCCAATGTGATCATCATCAATATGGAAGTCTTTAAAACAAAACCTCCTATAATTTCTGTAAATTGGATCCAAAACTAATTTACTAGGTTGACCAGATTTTTTAAATAAAAAACTGGGACATCCCTTGTTTTGGCTGGTTGGTAATAATAAAATTGTGTAACTAGTGTGTAATTAAGGAAAATTGTTATGCATTTGGCAGTAATGTGAGTCAGTATAATCACATTTTATTTGTGTTTTGGTCATTTTTAAGCAGCTTGTCTGTATTTTATTTAAACAAATGACAATTTGGGCCTCTCTTTACCATTGGAAGGTATTAGATTGGTCAAACATAGGGATACCTGGGGCATTTCTTGTATAAAACTGGGACAAATCACTGGTTTTGGATAAATCTGCTGGGACATGGGACACAGGGCTCAAAATTGGGACTGTCCCAGGGAAATAGGAACGTCTGGTCACCCTAGTCTTGATTGGTGTAAAACTATAACTTATATTTGCAACAGCTATCAAGTAAAAATGACAGAATTGCCAAAACGTACGCATTCATATTTCAATTAATAGTATGTTCTATGTGGAAAATCCTACAGTGGATGGTGAATACTACTATGTTTTGCTTGTAATCTTGCACATCTGCATTATTGTTTACTATTAAAAAAAAAGTACTATTTAAACGAATGCACACTCCTGAGCTCTGAGTGAAACAAGAGACTGCTACACTGTGCAAATGCTGAGACATCGACCCAGATAAAAACAGCAAAACGATGACATTTAAGTGTGGTTAGAAGTCCTCTCCATCAGCACTTCTTCCTCTCCACTTTACCATCATCATCACACACACACACACACACACAAAGCACAAACACGAGTACCAGCCATTACTTAGGGCACAATGCTGCACTGCTAACGGCCTATAGTTTAAAATGAGGTCTCTAATGCGTTCTAGTGGAAAGTCCATTTCTCATCGAGTCTGGTGCCGCCTGGACTGTCTGCCTGCAACACGATCCAGCAGATTAGTACCTTATGCTTATGTATGGATTTAGTCTGTGCATTACATGCTATTAGATCGAGAGTAGTATCTGGATTATATAAAAGAGGGGGAAAAAAACTTACAAACCGCGCACTGTGTCAGCTAGACTTCCCATCTTTGGATGTGACTGTCACCTAGCAACCAGTGACCTTCTGTTTGAGTATGAGTAATGCGACGACTTGCACTTGTGAATCGGGATTACCTCACAACTAAAAAACTATACTCTAAATGTCAGCGAACACCTACGTTATTCGTACATAGAAAGCGGACACACCCAAGTGCAAGCAGACAAAAGGTGCTCCACTGTCTGCAGCCACACATGACCCCCCCCTCCCTCCCGCTTCTCCCCCTTCTCCTCATCCTCAACATGACATTTCGCTGCACCCATGGGGGACTGTCTATAGTGCCCAGTAAGCAAACATCAACTGTCCCCTTTCTCTGCCTTTTCCAGCAGCCAGGGACACACCCAATGCAGTGGCTGTGCTCATGTTTATACCCACTGTACATAATAAACACAGAGAAGGAAAAGCGAGTTACCTGTTAGGTCCATGGTGAGCGGCGGTGAGCCCTCGTCGAACAACAATGTCATACTGAGCACCTGCACGTTGGGGGTGTCACCTACGGAACAAAGAGTCAGCAATAAATGTTTAGAAATTCAGTGTATTATGATGCATTAGACCAAACAGTAGAGATGTAACACTAACTGAAATATTGTCAAAGTTCTCACAATAAGATCCATCACAATATATCGAATTACAAGTCTCTTTGCTTAAGTTAAGAGTTATAGTGGAACAATAGCTAAAAAAGACAGAGGGAACTACATAGACCATGATCCTTTGCTTCATTTCAGTGCAGACTACAAGAAGAAATAACAGTTCTAAGCACTTTTAAGTCTTAGTTAGTTCTTAGTTCTTTGGATTAAGTCTTATCAAGGGATTTTAAGAGGAAAAAGTTGCAAATTAACAGTTTTCTGCCTCCACATATTGTACCGAGAGATTTGGATATTGTTACATCCCTAATCGTGAGCCTCGCCAGCATATCATGAGCTTTTCCACGATATTCGTAATAAATATCATACCTTGAGGTTCATACCATGACGATATCGTATCATAAGACTTGGATATAAATAAATCTGTGTTTTGGGATCTTAATACTTTGCCTGTAATGTTACATATTATGACATATATATTTTCTATCTTGAATTTATTCATTTACAGGTGTTTTTCATTTCTAAAACATGTATTCCTAGCGTGTCTCTATGGGGATAGATAAGTTTAAAGTGATACTGTGGAGCATTCCAGGCACACCAGCAATATCTCCATGGTGACAAGCAGGTGGCAGACAAGCACCAATAAATTTATAATGTATACCGTTAATCTAAAATACATTGTTGTGTGATTGGTTTATGGTACAATGTGCTTACCATTAATATATCTGTATTTATGTTTATAGTAAGCACGGGGCGGCAGTAGCTAAGGTGGTAAGAATGTTTGCCCACTAATCCGAAGGTTGATGGTTTGAATCCCGCTCTCAACATAAAAACATCATCGGTTGAGCGATCAGATCCACTGACCCACAGGTTGGTGTGATTCTAGCTTCTACAGATGAATGCTGTCCTTGCTGTGTATGTGTATGAATGCGTGTATAAATGGGTGAGTGGTTCCTTGATGTAAAGGGCTTTGAGTGCTGTGAAGTTGGAAAACCGCTACATAAAAATGTGAACATTTACCATTAAACTATAGACACAATTTCACACAAAATCAATAAAAACTGGTCTGTAAAGTTAATGTGTGGTTGGAGACATAGTATATGAAGTTGTGATCCAGAATACACACTTCTTCAATACTTTACAAGGACGTGAGTCTGGCCACCAGTGAATCTCCCAGTTCAGATGGGTGTAACTAAGGAGCACATATGTTCTGTCCATATGAAAGCAAATGGCTTATGAGGAAAAAAGATAAAAAATATTGGAGGTTACTGAAAAAAAGTGATGAATTTCTGCAGAACATGACGGAGGGCGTGGTGACCAGACTGATATCCCTCTGTATATTATTTATACAGAGGGATATTAGTCTGGAAAGATATCATTCCGGATGTGACAGGAAATATATGAAAGTAAACCATTGTATTTTATTTATTCTTCTTATTTAAAAACTTTATCGATGGACATTCAGTGTCTATAGGCCTACAAATTCATAGTCCAGCATTACATTTGACTTCAGTTCTTTTGTCAAATGCATAAAGAGTAACTGCTTCTGTGGTTTCTCCTTTCAGACACTGCCTAAAACCTAATAGCACTGATGCAAAAATAACCCACTGACAGTGAGCAGAGCTTTGTTCAGAGTACATTATTCTATTTGATCATATCATTATAGTCCATCTCTGCTGTTCATCCCATTTTATCTGATACTATAGAGTTATGTTACAGCACAGGGAGACTCAGGCCTGTCACAGAGTTGCTGAGACAAGCATCCATGCTCTTGTTATGTGTCAATACTGTTATTATTACGGGTACAAGGGTGACGCATATACACAGACAACAATATACACAGACCTTGGGGGCTTGAGGTCACTCCCAGTAGAGTTTTCTTGTATCGGACCAGGCTCTCGTCGTCCTGGTCCAGACGTCGGATTTCCTCTAGAGTCTTCTGTGCCGGAGTTTTGAAGGCCACAGTCTCAGCGGGAGCATCGTCTTCATCACCTACCAGGCCTGTGTGGGAAAAAGGAAGAGAAGATACTGTGTTAATAAGATAGTTCTAATGTTGTAGTATTGTGACGGAGTTATATAGGGTTAATACACAACTCCACCGTGTGATTTGGAAACCCTCCTCCGGTTTATCAAAAACATGTACAATGACAGGGTAATGTCTGGAGTTGTTGCATCAGTTTAGAAATGTAAGTATGCTGTGTGACCGGGTTTTTATTGTGTGTGTGAATTTGGACGGAGCAAACTTGTAAAAGATAACTACTATCCAACACTTATCATTATCTGTTGGTTAATAGGTTAATGACAAACCTGCTTATTAAAGTTATTAAAGAAACAGTATGTAGCCTGTGTTTACCATTTCAAAAAATTTACTACAATCACAACACAACACAGTTCACTCACTGAGCTGCAGGGGCTGCACAAGCACTGACTAATGATTGACTGCTGGTGCTGGGGTTTAGGATTTAGTGGGAGTTTAGTGACTATTTAGATCCTCATTACTGCAGATTTTCAGATTTAAACCAACTGGATTTCAGTTTTGGAGCTGACAACCCAAGAGACTGATGTGAGTCTTAAAAACAGACATGAAGGAGGGCAGACATATGGAATAGCATGGAGCAAGAATCAAATTTAAAAAGTCAATTTGATAATAAAATATAGGACTGACTGAGTGTGTTAACATGTCCCGACAGAACACACCACTGTCAAAAGTATTCATAAGTAAACTGGCTTTCTCTTGTCTCTAGAAGACAGCTACACTTTCTACAATTTGTGCTTAAGAGTTATTATTTTAAGTTCTCAATTTATCTAAAAGAGTTTCTCATTCGGTTTAGAACTACATATAACTTACATCACACTGAACAACTATTTTTTTAAGTTTTCTCTATAAAAAAAGAAACTGGCCGCAGAGCATTTAACTTTAAAGCCCCAAATTAATGGCACAACTTGCTTTCCTAAATCCAATCAATTACATCGATCCATCTGTTTATGGCATCAGATTTCCTGCTCCTGTTTTCCATAAAAATTACATTTTTGTTTTATGTACTTCCTGATGTAAATAGAGTTGCTTTTCTTCCTTTCTTCCTTCAATACTCTCCAAATATATATGTGTGGGGATGATAAACTCAGAGAGATGCAAGTACATCTTATGATCCTGTATTGTAAAGTGTGAGTGTTGCCTGTGTGTTTTTTTTTCTGTAAATGCAATTTTTCTGTTATTGTTTAGGACCCCCTCGCAAGTGAGATGTTTTTTGAATAAATAAAATAAACAAGAACACAAACATGCCTACCACTTCAACAGCTCAATAGCTTTACTTGTACAAACTTAATATTTACTTTAATATACAGCAAATATTACAATAATAAACACACACACACAAACAAACAGTCAAATAGAAATCATATAAAACAGATTTGCTACCATCATAGCACCTTTCCTCAGCCATGTTTAGATCTAAATGGAGTGTGGAGGTTATGTCACTTTGGAAATTGCAGCTGTCAAATGCTTTGACTTTATAGCGCTTGGTTGGCTACAGTCTCTCCTCATTTACCTCATGCTTTCTTCTCTAAAATATCCTTTTTATTTTTTGAGATTATAACTGTTCATTATTTTTAATCATTAAATTAAAACAAAGACATTCTGTTCTCTCTTTTATTTAACATTCTACACAGCACATTTACTGTAACTGTATGTTATTAAAACCTTTATTTTATTAAGTGTCAGAGCAGAACAGGTGATTGCTCTGGTTCAGTCTGCACATGGGCAGCTTGAATACTGCAGGAGTTAATTTCATCTGGGAAAATGGTTCAATATTGGATTGTACAGACATATGATAGTGCGAGCGGCAAGATAGGAGAGAAGTCCAGTTTCAGTGCAGCCAAGCCACTGAGTGATAGAAATATTCAGTTCATGTGTAAAGGCAGTGTAATAGTGTAGTAGTTAGAATTTTTATGTGAATATAAATATTAAAACTGTAATACACGAGTAAATGAAAAAAATAACTAAATACGCTGACTAATTGCAGAGGGAATGGAACTTTGATCAAAATGTTACTTTTGCTAGTTAAAAAATATCCAACAAATATTCTCCAGGTCATGCTTTAAAGTGGTGGCAGCAGAGTCCAGATAATCAAACTCACAGTACAAGAATTATCTGTAAACTGTGTTAAAAGAGAAAGAATTTTACTTGAAGAAATCCAAAATCTCTCTCTAGTTAAGCTCATACCTTTACTGACAGGTTTGACAGAAAATCCAAAATCATTCCACAGCTCAAATTTTTAGTCGTCCTAAATTATTCCATTATTGTCAAAAAAACAACAAATTTTTATAATGAATTCAAAGCATCCAGAATTCAAAACACCAGATTACAACATCCTATAGAAACGGCATCTTCGCATGGAATCCCTTGATGGATCACAACATAACAGCAGACTCCAATTATCTGGAGAGCTGGACATGGACACATAGCGGGTAATGCGGTGTGGAAGCCATGATGGGGCATGCTCGTGTTTTGTAATTGTTCATAATGACAGCAGCGAAGCCGTACTTATCTGTGGAGGTAATTGGCTGACACGAGCCTCTAATCGCGCACACACGAGCAGAAAGGCGGGGTATAGATTCTGAAAAAGTCCAAATCAGGAATGTAATCGGTGCAAACAGGGCAGCTCCAGATAATCAGGGCCAAACACCAGGGCCCTTCGCCGTTACCATGACAACTACGTGAACTTCTTTTTGCTATGGGGTCACTTTTTTTTTTTTTTTTTGAAGGGAACCTGCTTGGTATGCAAAGCAATCAAATAGACATAAATGGCCTCGCACCGTCAAAACAAAACCTGTTAGATTATACTGCCCTACAAAAGCAAAAGACCGTAACTCGCCAGAGTGTGAAACTGACTTCAAAGTTTGTGTTTTGTCCATACAAAAGCATAACAGGTAGGGGTCCGAAAATGTGACAGCTACTTGCTATAATGAAGAAATATTTAGATTTTAAAAATACTGAGCTCAAAATTGACCTTTGACCTTTATTTGGCAGCTACTGTACTCTATCCTTGTATCATGAGCCAAAAATAAGAAGTCGTGCAAAGGCAAAAGTCAGTAAAAGTAAAAGAAAGGCACTGTTACTGCCTTTTGCCTTTGCACAACTGCCTTTATATCATGTGCCAAAAATAAGGAGAGTACAGAAAGTTATTCACATGATAAAGGAGGTCTCAAATATTCCCAGAATGACATTAACTCATTTTTGACCAAACATTTACAGTGTTCTGCCTTTGTAGGGCAGTATAGACATGACCCTGTCTCGCATTGAGGGGCACATTTACTTTACTGTATAGTCTACTCTATAGACATACACTGTTAATCAAAAGTTTGGAACTCACCATCTCATTCAATGTTTGTTTTTTTTCTCTTATTTTTACTACTTTCTACATTTTGTACACATACAGAAGACATCAAATACATGAAGCAAGATATATAGAATCATGAAGCAAAGGAAAAAAATTAGATAACTCTACATTTTTAAAAATATTTTATTATATTTCTTTGCTTTGTCAAAATATATTCAGAAAAAATTTAATAAATAACAAATGTCTTTACTACGTAGTTTCATATATCTTATTTCATACATGTCATGTTTTCTGTGTATACAAAATCTATAAAGTGGTAAAAAATAAATAAAAATAAAATGGTGTGTCCAAACTTTTGACTGGTAGTGTGTTTAAAAAAACATCATTATCAAGCCACAATAGTAGTACTAATACATTCTTACTGACCTCTTCTGGTTGGAGTTAGTAACAGTAGCACTCTCTCACAATAGTTACATATATGAACAGAGAGATTTTTATTACATTTTATTTCATTTCATCCAAAAAGAACCACAAAAATATGTGTTCTGTTACTTTACTGACCCCTGTGGCTGGAATATATAATTTTGTTCATAACAATAATGCCTGCTGCTGAAAAACCCTTTGCTTCATTGTGTTTGAGGCTATGAATGACCCGGGCCAGTATAAGTGAATGATTGCATCTATTTACATATGAAACCCTGCATGCTAACAGAGTGTGTATAAGCTCACGCTCTCATGCCTCTTTCCCTCTGATCTGCACTCTGCTGACCTGTCACTCTCAACCGCATTCATTAGCATGCATTTGAAAGTCCTTATTCCACCGCTACATAGTATATCATGTATATAAATTACATGGCCTACGTTTTCATGGAGTACAATACTGATAGAGGTGATTGGTGTAGTGTACCTCAAATCAATATTACTGAAGCTTTTCTGACATGAATAATATTAACGTGATAGCCTATTATTAGGGGTGTAACGAAATCCAAGTCTCACGATACAATATCGTCACGGTATGAACCTCACGGTACAATATTTATAGTGATACCATGAGAAAGCTCACGATATGGTAGGTAGGCTTATGATTATGGATGTAAAGATATCCAAATTTCTCCATACGATATTTATTGCGATATTTTGTGGAGGCTAAACAGCTGAAACTGTTCATTTGTTACTTTTTCCTCTTAAAATGCCTTTACAAGACTTAATACAAAGAACTAAGACTTAAAAGTGCTTAGAACTGTTATTTCTTCGTGTAGTCTACACTGAAATGGAGCAAAGGATCATGGTCTATGTAGTTCCCTCTGTCTTTTTTTAGCTACTGCTGCACCATAACTCTTAATTTAAGAAAGAGACTTGTAATTCGATATATTGTGATGGTCCACGATATTATTGTGAGAACTTTGACGATATGATATCACAATATTTCGATTACTGTTACATCCCTACCTTTTATACTTTGCTCTCCCATATATCATAAGATACTTGGGCCAGTGCAAAGCTCTTGATCAGAGAATACTTTGGCCACATAAGATATCAGACAGTGGAAAAAAAATCACGCATTTTTAAAAAGAGCATAGCCCAGCCATCAGGAAATTATCTAATCTAAAATGGAGGCTGCATGGGCCCTTTGTGCTTCATTCATTTTGTCACGTGTATGTG